CACCCAGCGTGTCTCCTGCAGCGCTGGGACTGAGCAGCCGGGCTGAGGATCCTGCTACACCCTTGTGCAGGAGGCACCATCTGCCAAAAAGTCCTCCTGAGCTGCGTTTCAGCAAGTGGGCTAAAGAGCTAAAAAGAGCATCCCATCCATGGCAGCTGAAGTCCATCACAGCTTGCTTACAGGATTCTGGCTCCAAAGGGAGGCTGGGCAAGTGGCCAAGAAGCCTCTCTTGCTTGCCCATGCTTCTCTTTGGGGAATGGGATTCCTGGTTCAGCATGGCCTGAGATGGCTTTGGGGAGCAGGGCAGCACCAGGGAGAGTTGGAGTTCCCTCATCCCAGGCACAGCCCACCCAAGGAGATGAAAACTCCATTTATGGGGTTTGCCAGGGCCTTGGGGCTGGTTTTGGTCTCTTTGAGGTCACTGGCACAAGCCTTGACAGCTCAAAAAGGAACAGATCTCTTGTGTTCTTTTATGCAAGAGCAGGCAGACTTCCTGGGAAGGGCAAGAAAAAGAAGAAATTATCTCCAACTTTTATTTCTGTCTTTGCCTTCTGCCTATGTCACCCCTCCCCTTTCCTTTCCACCCACTTCTCACCCTCCAAGAGGACATTTCTGCTCCAGSATGTGGTTGTTCTTGGAGCTGTGCAGGGGTCACCGGGCCAGACTGAGGGGTCACCGGGGCTCTGCCCTTTGCCTCTGAGGATACCAAAGCTGCTGAGGTCCAGATTCTTCCTGATGATTCCATGTGATGGCTAATTAATGTCCTCCCCACGTTTCCATGGCAACCCCGTGCTGCGCTCTCAGCCCTGATCCAAATGGACATTCTGCACACTCCTGCAGCCATAGCATCAGCATGTTAATAAGACTTGCTGACGTCTTTTGCTTTCTGCCACRCCGGCTGGTGAGCCTAAATTTGAATAATTTAAAAGCAGCAGATTTCTTAGGAAGCTCCCAGTGCATTTCTGTCACGTGATTTTGAAGAAATTGGTCCCAGAAGCCTTTTGCATCTGAAGGGAAGAAGGATTCTGCCCTACCTGCTGCTTTCTCCATGCTTTGGCTTTGGGACACCTGGCATTGGCTTTTTTTTCCTCTGGGTTATTTGGAAGCTCCATTTTTCCTGCAGTCCCTAATTTAGTGACAGCAAGGGACAAATATCTGCCCTGAATTGGTGGGGGCATCTCTCTATGATCTCTGAGCTGGACAATGTGATGGATTGTCCCAAACTCCTTCTTGTGCCGAGGAGGGAAGCTGGGTTTTGTTCTCCTACCAACAGAGAATGGATACTCTTTCAGAGCATGAACATCCCTTTTATCATTAAACTCTGCAACAACACCCACTGTTCATGCAGGTTTGAGTTGAGTTTTAGGGTGAAGGTGTTCTCTGGATCCCACCTAATCCTGCTCTGTGAATTACCTTCCATTCTAGTCGTTATCTTGTCAAAATGCATTTTTCCGATCATCATTTCTTCAGGAGCCCACTAATCCCACTGTAGTGCTGGTGTGGCCTCTCTGGAGGATCTGAACTGTTTTCTCTTGTTGAGACAGATGCCAGATGCCTCCATATCTCCTATTGCTTGCAGAACAAATTCCCTGAGCCAAACCTGGGGCATGTTTCTGGATCTGGCTGTCACCAACTGACCCCTTACCTGGAGAAGGYCTTTTGGGACTGAGCAGTGGAAGCAGAGCATGTGCCCTGTTTAATTTATTTTCTAGCACCAGAAGCATCACTCAGGCCACCTTTGATTAGTTTGGGGTTTTTTTTCCTCCATTTTCTTACTGACAGAAGCTTTGATCCCCAAGTGGTGGCTGAGCTGCCAACTAGCTTCATTTTCCCTACCTTGAAGGACGTGGGGGTTTATTCTTCAAATTTTTGCTGCATTTCTTCACAAAATCTCATCCAGCTGTGTTGGAACGCAGCTCCAGGTTGTGCTGCTGATGTGCCATCCTATCCAGGTGCACCCTCAGGTACTCCCAAGGTGAGTTCCATATGCTGGCAGCATCTCCATGCCAAAATTCCTCCCATCTCCCTGCACTGCTTCCCTACACTCCAATTTCCCCACTCCCAGGCATGGTGGGAATGTCACCTCGTATGCCTCAACTCCACACCGTCCACTGCTCTGTTCAGCCAGGATTTAATGCTGTTTTGGCACCCAAAATCTGTCTCAAGGTTTATGGGGTTGCCCTTGCTGCTGCAGKCAGTAAATGCTGGGGGCTGCTCACCCCCAGGCCTCATTAAAGATACACGAGGGCACCAATTTGATCCCTTAGCGGCCCCACAAACGCCAGGCRAGATTTAGGCGACGTGCTGCAAAGTTACCCACGAGGTCTGAGATTTAATKGCAGCTCCTTTGGCTTCGACTCACCAGAGCTGGACTCTTATCTCAGAGGAAAGGAATTTATCGAATKAATTTCACTTTGTGTTGGCACGGTCACTATTCCCAGGCACGAGCAAATCCCATCATCTCATGCAGGCTGTGGCTCAGAAGCAGAGCTCGGTATTTTTAGAGCCATAACCGTAGTTCTTCCCGGTGTCAGCTCTTTGGGTCATACATGTAATTTAAACAGTACATTTCTATTCCCTGCTTAGATGGATGTAACTGTCAGGAACATTATTTCTGCTGATAATTACAAATTTGACATTCATTTCCCATGAATACTCTCCACTATTTGCTTAAAACTCACCTCCATGCATAGGATTGCTGCTGAATGTTCTCTTATCAGAAAGCTGAGGCAGAAATGTCACATCTATAAAGAACACTCTTGGAACRCCGGGGTCTAACAGGAACCTCTGCTCCGCAAAGCAAAGACCAGGCAAATGAAAAACAAACACTGGGAAAAGTGGGCAAYCTGAGGCCTCTTGGACTGATCAGGGGAGAGAGAGATCTTGATACAASGTAGGGGAAAAGAGCTGCTGCTAAAGGAAATGTCCCTAAAAATGTGTTTGCTGTTTAATTCACCCAGCTCTTCTTCTGATACCCACTATTGGATAGGCAGACAGGGACTTCTGTGATTAATCCCCCTTTTTGGGTTTTACTGACGACCCAGACTGCTTCTCCCATGCCCTCAGCAGGAGAGCCCAGTGAATGGTTATTTTCCTCAAGATACCCAATTCCTTCTCAGGAAATTGGGATGAGCATCAACCTAAATCATACAAATTAAACTAAACCTGAAATCAGCCTTAATTGCTCAAGTCCCTGGTGTCCAACACCACAATCCACTCAGGTCTTTCCAGGAGAACTGATGTTCCTCCAAGAATCTCAGCCAAAGTTTTCAGAGAAGGTTCTACAAGACTATTTTGAGCATCAGTAGAATCAGAATGTCAAATCTTGAGCCAAACCTGAATCTTGGACTTTGGATCAGGACTGTCCCCCTTTTCAGGCCCGTTTTCCCCAGGATGTTCCTCCAGCTCTGTGAGCCATCAGGATCTCAGATTTATTTCTCCCTTTCTGTAGGGCAGAATTCCAATCTGACACTAGCACTTCTCAATCAACTTCAACTAAAAAAAGCCAGTGAAATTAGGAGAAACACCTCACTACTCACCTCCCACAGTGTTCAGGCTTCATCACCCAGCTCAGCTGATCCTACATTCATACACTCCATTCAACATTCTATGTTTTTTTTTAAAATCCAAACACATGTGCACACGCATTCCAAAAAATGTTACCCACCTTTTAGTTATTTTAGGAWTTTTTTTGATAACTCAATTCTTTTTAATTTGGCTTTATCCTTTCAAACTCAGGGTAGGTTTGGTTGTTGCACTCTTCCCTCCCACCCCTCCCTTTTACTAATTTTGCATATATTTTAATAAAATTTTCTCATATATTTGCTGTATTTTTCTTTTTTTTTTTTTTTTTTTTTTTTTTTTTTTTTTTTGTGGACAAAGTGTAAGTGAGACAAGGATATTATTCACAGCCACAGAAACATAAGAAAGTAAAAAGGATTTTTTCCCTTTCCCAATGAACAGAAATGACCTATGTACCCTTCAGTGTCTCCAGTTTTCCTTGGAAATGTATTCCCTTGCATTGTGCTTTGGTTTTTGTGGTGATGGGGGTTACCCAGCGCTACTGGAAAACCCAGCACCTGAGGCAGAAAGCCAAACTCAGCCTTGCCTTTATGATTTTGGCTTTCTCTGCTTTAAGGACGCTGTAGAAGGGCCTGAAAGATGAGTGAGTGAAGATTTACAGGTGCTGCTCCTCCTCTGACACCACTGAAGGCAGCACCAGCCCAACGCAGGGCATGAACTGCAGGTCAGGARAACAAACCAACACAGCCCATCCTCCAGCATGTGCTGAGCCTCCACCTCTGCTGAAAAGATGGAAATCCCAAARTGAGGACACCTGAGCCCTGAACCCACCTCTTCTGTGTGTTCTCACCGAGGAGGCATCAGTTCTGCACCCCAAGGGCTGCCATCCCCTCCTGTCCTCCAGCAAAGCTCAGCACAGGCTGCAGGAATAACTCAACATAAAGCTGGCGTAAATCTCAACAGAAGAAATATCTTTTATCTTTAACCATTTACTCCCACTATAGGAATAATGGTAGCTCTTTTACATTTACATATAACTCTTGTTTGTGTGTTCACTTTGATTTTTTTTCTTTTTTTTTTATGTCTCTTTGTCTTGGCACCTGCATAGCAGAAAACTTCACAGTTCAGTACAGAAGTTTGCCCCTCTCTCTCTGCTCCTGGCCTTTATTTCCTCTGCTGCCCCTGAGGACTCGCAAGCAACACCCCCAAGGTCAAGAGAGAGAACGGTGTTACCCTTTTATGACGGATTATAGAAATAACAAACATGCCTGACAGTTTTATACAGCTGCTAGAACGGGTTTAGTTTTCAACAAATGAAGAATTTCCTCTTTTTTTTTCCTCTTTTGTATATTAATTACATTTTACAAATCTTATTTCTCCCCTTCTCTTTTCTTTCCTTT